TCCTAGTAGGCTCCTGCCCCAATTTCTGCAAGGCTTTCTTCTCATTTCTCCCGAGTCTTCACTCAAAAGTTACTGTTCAGTCACTCCCTGACCTTTGCTTAATTTTCATAACCTCCCTCACCCTGTACCCTTTCTTTGCCTCATTTTTCACTTCTTCCCACTTAACACATTATCTAACACACACTGGATCTACTTCTTGATTGTGTTTTTGGTATGGCTTCCCCAGCAGAATGTATACTCCATGAGGCAGGAATATCCCACTGTATCCCCAGTGCCGTGAACAATGACTGGTACATAGTCCATTGGTTGAATAAATAATAAACGTACAAGTTGTCAGCTAAAACAAGTAATATAGCAAATATAATACCTTTCTCTCTTTTAATCCTTTGGAATCCTGGGTAGACAAAAATTTCAAATACTTACACATTTTTATGCCATGTCCTTTATTTATGATTCAATGTTTACTCACTAGAGCTAAATGATTTTTCCAACACTGTAAACGCACCCAACCACGAATACAAAATAGATCTGATTCGACGCTTCATTTGTGGCTCACGTGCTATTTCATAGCTGGCAATATGACGCAGCTGTCCCAGGACCGGTTCAGAGATGCTCTTCTCACCCCAGAAGGCCTCATGGCAACAAGATTGCCTGACTGTTAGGTAACCTTGGGGAGAACAGGGACTGTGTCCAACTTTCTCATAATTGCATTCCCAACACCTAATATTTTTTGCATGAATGAACTAGTTAATTAATGCATGCTTGGGCAATTTTTTGTGCTTCGTGTCCCATGCTGAGGGTGAGGGTGCAACAGGCCACATGGCCCCCAGGCTGAGCTGGAAGAGAATATTGGAGTTTTAGTAAAATATGTATTTGTTATGTTAGGTGTCTATGTTATATGGGTATATATGTAAGTGTATATGTTATATGTGTGCCTATGTAAAAGTACGCTGTATGTGCATGAGTACACGGTATGTGCATATGTTATGTCCATATATGTCATGTATCTATGTGTATGCATGTGGCATGTGTATGTATATACTGTGTGCATAAAATGGGAAATCAAAAACTGATGCTAACAATCAACTGGTAAGAAAAGGGCGTGATGAGGAAGAAGCTGGTCTAGTTTCTTTGCCTACTTTGTTAAAAAAAAAAAAAACACTTTACTGAGGAAGCCATCCTTCAAGTTCCTCCTAACAGCCCATTACTCACATAAACAGCAGTCTGTCCGCAGCAGGTTTCATAGACATCTCTCCCCTTTTCATCCATTCATCCAACAAGTACAAAATGAGCGCCTGTTAAGTTCCATGCACCATGGTCTGGGATACAGAGTAAATGAGACAAAGTCCCTTCCCTCTAGTGGGGAAGAGTGACAATGAACAAGTAAGTATATAACCCCATTTCAGGGTTGTAAAGACATTTAAAGCCAGAAAAAAGCAGGGAGATGGTAGAGGGAGGGGAGGCTGAGCAGAGCTCTGAGTGCAAATGTGGGGAAAGAGCTCTAAGGCTGAGGGAACAGCAAGAGCAGAAACAAATTGTGGGAAACAGCAGGGGAGGTGGCGGTTAGAGCATCCTAGAGCCCAGTGAAGGGGGGCACAGAGGCACCAGGCAGCCCTGGAAGAAGGGCTCTGATAAAATTCATTCCTGAGGACATCACTGTCCGAGATGGATTCCGGAAAGGTCATTCATTACATTTCAAAACAGAGAAAAACAATTCAAGGTATTAAAAGAAAATAAGACCTCCTCTGTTGAGGAGGGAAATATTTATGCATGCCAAATGCAGGGCGCCTTGTCTCCACATTCACCCAGTGGTTGGCCTCTTACTCGACTCCCACCCACCACCCATCCCCCGTAGCCAGAATGAAAAACATAATAGAAATTAACCCCAGGCTCATCAGGATTAAGTCTCTCAGCTGTCACCCCTGCCTCCCTCTTAAATGGCTGACATCATTTCTGGTCCTCCCCCAAACAAGTGGCTCTTTCTCTCGTCCCAAATAATTAGCTTCCCCAGACACAATGGGAAGGCCTCAGTCCAAGCTGGGAGGGGAGACATTTGAAGGACAAGGGAATGCTAGTGTTTTGCTTGGGCTGTGGGACAAATGTTCCGGAAATCAAAGTTTTTTTTATGTTTGTAATTATGCATATCCTGCAGTATCTGCATAATGGGTCCAATTCAGCCTTGGCCTCGCCACAAAATTGCCATGTCCGTGGAAGAAGGTCAGCCCGTAACATGATGAGTGAACAGGAAGCCTCACGCTGTTAATAGTGCCTTAATATATATATATTTTTAATTTGGGGGATGAACTTTGCTCTTTCAGTCCATTTGTCTGCATGCATTTGCAAACATATTCTAAGCACACTTGTAAAATGCACATCTGTGAAATCAGCTCTTGCTCTGAGAGAATCTTTATAAAGATTTTAGGTGATCAGGAAGCTGACAGCTCCAGTCTTTCTGGTGCAAGGTAGAATTTTAAAGTCAGAGGAGGCAACATATGACGTTAGGAAAACTGTGCAACGAGGCAAACTCAGAAACACTACTGTAAAGGACCCAATGGGAATAAAATACACCTGGGTTTAGATTCATTTTCAAAAGTCTTTCTTTAAGGGAACAATATAAAGGTTCAATTTTGGTTTGAACAGATTCACCCGAAGTTTTTGTGTGTGCGGTTTTTCTTTTTTTTAACACTTTGGTTCTGCTCATGGTTTAACAGAATATCTATGCATTTAGTTCAGAGTTCAGCAAACAAGTTTTCAGTTAAATTTTTTGACATTTTTCACTGTTCAGTTCTTGGTGACATGAGGCCAGTGTCTTATGACCTCCTCAGAGCACCGAAGAATCACCCACTGACTGCTGTGATCAAATCCAGTGTCCCTCTGCCCCCTCCACTCCACCCCATTCATCCCTGCTTTTTTTTTTTTCATTTTTAAATCACTTTACAATTTCTACTATAGCTGCATTTGAATTGGCAGAACTGTTTCCATGACCGACAGGACAGAGATGTGTCATTCAAGGAGAAAAGAAGTGAAGGTTTTCATAAAGCTTGAGAAGCACCACAGTAACTAACACAAGGATGGCTTGCAGCACCAAGGTGTGCAAGGAGGTAGGACTAAGGCTGCTCCAGCAGTAGCTGGCCTGCATGTGCTGGCCTGAGACCACTGCTATTACCTAAGGGGAAGCTCGTAATATGCTTGGTAAGCCGATCACTTGTAACACGCATATCAAGGGAGTAGAGTGACACTTCCACAGAGTAAATTCTACAAGTTCCTGGGCAGGTTCCACAGATCGCATTAGTGATCAACAGTTGCTGAATTATGATTCTGCAAACATAGACATCCAGGGAAACTTTACAACCTGTGAAATTCTTAAGCCAAAAAATAAATAGCCACACATACCAAACCTGCACACTGTGAATTAAAGGGATGGCCTGTTAGGGCTTCTGAAAGAACCAAAGCCCAGATCTACCACACCACATGCTCAAACTGGAGATGTGAATGGTATTCTTGTGCTAATGTAAGTCCAAAGTCTAAACATTTGACAGTTAAGATTCCAGTGAAAATCTCTCTGAAGAGAACATTTATCGATGTGATCTGGTTGGGTCAGAGGTCCAAATCCCACATTTGGCCTTCTCCACATTTCAGGCCTTTAAATGGAGGAAACAACTTTCACGAAATGTTCAAGAGGCATGATCTTATATACCCTCTCATTCCCAGTATCCTCAGGTCCAAAGAACGGGTGCTAGCTCTCGTCTCTATGTCTGTGGTTATGGAAAGGCTCTGCCACTCAGCTGACTTCATTCCTGTTTTTCTGAGGGAGATCACGTATCTCCTCTTCCCCAGACCAACCACGATGGCACTTGCTTCAAACCCTGCCCTAGTGGAAGTCCGAAAGAACGTTGCTCCCTTGATGGATTTAAGCATTTCTGGAGTTGTTTTCCCCACTAGCTGTTGCTCCTGGATATCCAGTCAACCTTGGCCTGCTTCAGTGCACAATAAAGTAAGTGGCCAGGTCACCAGGGTGGCGACTAACAACTCCCTGGCTTCTCAATGCAGCCTGTGGCATTTAAATGCCACAAAACTAAGAGATTTACCACCAATGACAGTCTCTTTGTTTCTTACTCCACCATGCCTCCAGCTTCCAGCATTTTAATGAAGGCAGCTAGCACAGTCCCCTTCCAGGCTGAAACCCAACGCCCTCCTTGGCTTTATTCTTAGATGGCACAGCTTAAAAGATCAATTCTTTGTTTCTGTTTTTTTTGCTTTTCATCTGCCAGAAAAACTGGAAGAGTCGAGGCATGGGGACTAGGGGAGGGGAAAAGAGTATCCCGGATAACACTTCTCTACTTAGTGTGTGTGTGTGTGTGTGTGTGCGTGTGTGTGTGTGTGCGCACACGCGCGCGTGCGCACACGCGCTGGCAGGAAACAAGCTGGCTGAGTAAGGCTCCACTCTTTGCTTCCAGGGATCCAGACTAGGAACAGCACTCACCAGTCCTCCCTTGTCATCCTCCCACCTGTTTCTCTGAGGCCAACATCATGATTTTCTCATACAAGGATATTCATAGAGAGGCTGCATGGGACAGGTCCAAGACACACAATTTTTCCCTTTCTCCTGACACAAAGACATCCAATCAGAGAGCGCTGGGCACTTAATGGAAGCAAATAAGACACGAGGAATAAAATGGGAATAAACTGAGACTGCAACTACATTACAGGAAAGAGTATTTATTTTGGTAATACCCATGTGACTGGGAAGAGGGCTGAAGCCAAAAATCAGTTTCCATGGAATCTCTGTTCTGACTGAACTTCACCACCTGCACGCATGGTGGTATAAACTTTAAAAAGTGTGCAGAGGGCTATACCCTCTGCAGGGGAAGCATAGTGGCCAGCACAGAACAGCTGTCTAACAAATGGTCCGCACTGTTAGAGATGCTCCACTAGCCCAGACTGACTCGTTCCCGGCCTGGCTCCACTTTAAGATTCTGGAGACTTGCTATGTTGGTTACCTGTGGCTGCTACACCAAAAGCTTGGTGGCTTTAAACAATAGAAATGTGGTCCCTCACAGTTCTGGAACCCAGAAGTTGGAAATCAGAATCACTGGGCCAAAAGTAAGATGACAACAGGGCAATGCTTCCTCCAGAGGCTCTAGGGGAAAATCCGTTCCTTGCTTGTTCCAGCTTCTGCTGGCTGCTGGCAGCCTTGGCTGCGGCCTCATCACTCCAGTCTTCAAGGCCAGCATCTTCAAATCCCTTTCTGATCTGTCTTCGCATTGCCTTCATTCTCTGTGTGGGCAGAGTCTCTCTCTGCCTCCTATTATATACATACATATAATTGCATTTAGGGCCCACCCAGGTAATCCAGGACTACCTCCTCATCTCAAAATCCTTAACTTAATCACATCTGCAAACATCCTTCTACATAGAGCAGGCAACAGTGATTACAAAAGTTCTCAGATCGTCTCTATCACTATGAAGACAGTTGTCGTACACACTGCTATTCGGGTGAATGTCTGCAGTTAATGTATGTGATGTCACTGACAGGGCACATGTATCCAAACCTTTTGGATTCAAGTTAAAAATGTGAGCTGCCCAACAGTTTCCAGAATGGAACTGTCTAACCTGGGGGGTGTCTGCATTACCCGTGTTGAGTGGGCTGAAGCCCAGGTTCTCCTCCTTACCACCTGGCCTTAGTTCTACCAACCACTCACTCTTCCTTCCTGTTAAACACAGTCCGCGTGAGGAAACCCACGAGCTAGCTGGCCTGCTTAGCAAGGCTAGTTCAGCTAACAGGGATGTACCCTGTGGTCCTTTATTTGGTAGGTTCCTTGATGGGCAGTTGGGCATCGACAGGAGAGCTGGGATAGGGCCCTGGGATTTATTACCATTTTCTTTACCACCCTGATGCTCTGCAAAGTCCCCTAGGTTAGACACACTGGCCAAAGTGGGGCCGGATAAATACATCGGGTCTCATGTCTGCTGGGAAATCAGCCGACAGGCTCCTCCCTCAGTAGAAAGCCCCCTCTCCATAGGGCTGAATTAAATTTTCATATGGAAAAACAGATGGAATTAGTAATGTTAGAGCAGTTTTCAAGCCAACATTATGCTTTCATGTGCTTGAAAGTTGCCATTTCTTGATGTGTTCTCTAGTAATATCAATAAATCCTATATCCTTAGTACAGTGCAGGGATGCCACTGGAGTGAGGCCAGTCAGGAACTTGCCCCAGGTGCAAAGTTTAAGTGGGTGCCCAAAAAACTCAGTAATTAAATAACATTTTAAATGCAGTATTTAAAAAATATAAAATCAGCAAACTGTGGCCCACAGGCTAGCTACCTATTTTTGGAAGTAGAGTTTTACTGGACCAGGGCTAGGATTAGGGTGAAGTGTGGCAGTCAGGCAGGGGTTGGTAGGATCTTGTCTTTAAAATGCTGGTATTTTGTTAATCAAGAATTTTTTTTTTCCACACTGTTTTGACTTTTCAGAAAAAATTTAAAAATAATTTTGATTTTTTTAATTAAGTTTTTTTCATTTCAATTAAAAAGTTTTTCAAACACAATTTTTTTTTCACAATAACCATTTTTCTTCAAGACTTATATTGTGGCATAGAGCAGAAGTGTTTTTTGCATATTTCCCAATTTGTCACAGAGAATATCAAAAAGATGTATTTAAGGATCCAGATTTAATAAAATTAATAATCTTTACTACTTCATCAATGCTATTGAGTGAAATTAACTTTTTTTAAAACTATGAGTACACAGAAGCTGTAAGTTTTACTTGCCATTGCTTTTGCACCATTAATGCAAATGCCAATGCAATAAAAACAGCAAAAAAATCTTAGAATTATTATGAAAATAATTTTGGTTCCACACACCATTTGAGACGGTCTTAGAAAAACCCAGAGATCTGCCTTAAAGGATAACATTTTAATGATGTAAAGTTTAAACTCATTAAAAGTCAAAACCATTATCAATAACAAGCTAAGATCCTCAGTCCGATGGGGGCAACATAATTATGACTAACTCCAAAGTTTGTTTTGCAAAAAATATATAAGTGGTAAAGAGTTAAAGCAAATTGATCCATCTGTCATATAAACAGTTCTGAGCAATCAGGACATCTTTGAGGCTAAAGGTAAGGTAGGAACAAGATATGAAAGAAGCTGAATGCCTTGAACATAATCAGTGATCTGAAGGCATGGCTATTTTAGGGCAACTGAGTGGAGAAAGCACCCCATCCATCCGTTGCCTCCCCAGTGCCCCAAGAATGAGGGAGCAGAGGAAAATACAGTAGCAGCAGGAAGATCCAGACAAACATATCACATAGAACATCCCTGGGCTGTTCAAAGATCCTGGGGCCAGTGCTGGGTGGTAAAGCTCTCTCCTGCCACTTTCTAGCATACAACTGTGAGCAAATTCCCAAACCATTGTCTGTCTCAGTCTCCTCATGTGTCATATGAATATAATATTAATACCTTCTTCATATGGTTGTTGCAAAGAGTTCATGAGATGATGGAATTTAAGCATTGAGCACAGTGTCCAAGAGAATAAATACTCAGTGAATGTATCTTTTCAAAAATAAACATACTTCTGTACTGATTCACTACCCAGCATTCAGTAATTTTTCCCCACATACACAAATGCTTAATTAGCCCACTGTCTTGCCAGTGTTAGGTATTCAGTAAAGGTTACTTCCTCCCTCTAGCCAGACTGGGCAGCCTGTCTGGACCTGTCATTTCATCCACATGGCTTTGAGTGGCTTTCCCACCAACAATTCACTGAGAGATCTGATGCTTAAACACAAAAAGTATACATCAACATGCAAATGGTTATATAAAAATGGGAATATCTGTTAAACAGTAGAATTATGCTTTATATTTCCTTAAAATTGTTTTTATTGATGTTGAAAACACATTTGAAAAACAAAGGAATTGTTTTCAAAAATCAAAAGTAGCAAAATAGTTAACCCAGCAACAAAAACCAAACTGGCTTTTCGCCAACAGGTCTCTATGGTAGACAAAATAGTGCACAGCCTGATCCCCAGAACCTGTGAATATGTCACCTTACACGGCAAAGAGACTTTGCAGATGCGATTAAATTAAAGACCCTGAGACAGGGAAATCCCGGATTATCCTCATGGGCCCAGTGTAATCACAAGGGTCCTTAAAAACAGAGAGGAAGGCACAAGTGAGAGGCAGATCTGACTACAGAAGAAAGGCACAGAGAGGCAGCACTGCTGGCTTTGGAGACAGGAGAGGCCACACACCAAGGGATGCAGGCTGCCCCTAGAAGCTGGAAAGGGCAAGGAAGGTTTCTCCCCTAGGGCCTCCTGAAAGGAATTTCAGCTCAGTGACACCCATGTCGGACTTCCGAACTACAGAATTTTAAGATAATAAAGTTGTGTTGTTTGAGCCACTAGGTCTGTGGTAATTTGTTACAGCAGCAAACAGAAAACTAATACAGTCCTAAAGGTTATCCCAATCACCCTTGGTCTGTTTCCATGCATAGTAAGGAGCCAGGTCACCAGGGTAGCAACTGACAACTCCCCTGGCTCTCCCACAAAGTAAGAGACTGACCATGACTGACAGTCTCCACCTCTTAAGACTTGGATTCAAGAGCTCTGGGACACAAGACCGTCTAGATGCAAACAGTGACTGTATTGGAGATGGTTGGTGGTTCACACTCAGAGACATTCATTTACACTCATCAAGAGCTTACATATAGTTCCAATCACTAATAGAGAAATAAATATGCATACTTCCAGAGACAGGTCAACAGCTAGGGACAAGGGTAAAAGGCTGGAAGTGGCCCAAAACACATAAATCCTTCCATATGCTGATGCTAACAAAAACTAGTTGCAGAATTAAACCAGATAAGATCTCTGCTCTCGCCTATGTGGCCAGTGCTTCAGGGCTCTCGAGCAAACAAAATAGGATTCTGACAGCCAGCAGGCCTCTCTCATGGAAAAGCATCCCTGGTGAGCACGGACCTAAGAGAACCCTTCTAGGCCCGCCACCTGTCCCATGGGACCTACCTGTTTCTTTACGAGGTGGTGATGTGCTGGCCCAGGGGGTGTCGTCTTCAAATTGAACCCAGTTGCTGATGGCCGAGGCCAGGTCAGGCGGGGGCTGCTCAGGGCTCCCAGGCGGCGAGACTGCTTCAGAGATGAGGCCCATCTTTTCAGAGGAGTCATCGTGCTCCGAGTGGGAAAGGTCCTGAGAGCCTCCATCCACCACATGGTTTTCTCTGGAGGAGCTCTCAGACTGGTCTGAGGACGATGACGGTCCTCGGAGGTGCTCTTCGGTGTCACCTGAAACAGACACAAGACATCAACATGACATCACAGGAGGAAGGCCACTGGACAGGACCCCTGTCTCGGAACTGTCTCATGGAGGAAAAACAAAGGGTAGGCAAGGGGTGATCACAGGAGTTACCACTACAGTGGGTGAGGGCAAAGAAACAGCCATGCCTCTCTGCCTCTGTGCTAGAGGAGTGTTTTCCTAAAACCTAGGATGTCCATAGCAGTATCCATTCAGGCTGAGACTGGGAGCCTTGTTCCCTGTTCTTATCCCACCACCTACCCCAGCAGGGACTGGTGAAGACCGTGGCTCAACAGGAGAGCTTTCGTCTGGACTAGAGACATTCAAAATCAAACTTCCAACTCTATGCAGTTCAAATGACACCTGTCTGCAGGCCACACATGCAAACCCAGCACTAATGACCAGCTGAACGTGGCACCGAGGCCATTCCTCTAGCTTTGTATCACTTCATTGGTCCTGGAATATTTAATAGCCTTCCAAAAAATTTATTAAATAAGGTACTAGATCCCAACTGTGATGGTGGCTATACAAATCTATCCACATGTTAAAATTCATCAATTGTAGATCAGAAATGGTCAATTTTACTGTATGAAAACTTTTTTAAAAAATGGAAGTACTGATATGAAACTCCTTTCTCCCATCGCTAGCCAAACTGGTCCACCCAAATGTAATCAAAGCCTTTAGACAAGTACTGTCCCCAAAAAATAAAATGTGGACCACATATGTAATTTAAAATTATCTAGTAGCTGCATTTTAAAAAAGTGAAAAGAAACAGGTAAAACTGTTTTTAAGAATATATATTTCAACCCACTGTGTTGAAAATGTTTAATTCCAACATGTAATTGATAAAAAATTGTTAATGAAACATTTCACTTTTACTAGGTCCTCGAAATTCAGTGTAGGCCTTTTACACTTACAGCACGTCTCAATTCAGACTATCCACATTTCAAGGACTCAGTAGCCACGTGGCTCCCTTACTGGACAGCACACCTGTAAACTCACACTTTCCAGGTGCTGTAAATGAAGCTGAGATGATTTCAGGGGGCAGTAGCAGCTGCTGTGGAACAGAATCAGCTGACAAGTCTCTGTAAATAGCTCCCATAACCTACCTTGATCTTCATCCCAGAGCGCAGTTCCCCAGAACTCACTCTAGCCACCTTCATCATGATCGGGGTGACAAATTACTGAGCTCTTTCCATGTGCCAGTCACTGCTGTAAGCACTTTACCTGTGAGTTCATTTAATCCTCACAACCACGCTGAGGTGGTACTGTGATTACCCCTACTGCACGGATAAACTACTGCCCAGGGAGGTTAAATAAATTATCCACCCAAGGGCACATCCCTCATGCATGACAGAGCCAGGGCTGGAGCCCAAGGGATCCAGCTCCAACACCCGCCACTCTTGACAACTGTGCTTTAAAAATTGGGACAGTCCAAATTGCTGTCGGGAGTAATAACCAAAAAGACTGAGTTTAAGGGACTTTGAAAACATGAAGCTTATGTTCCTTGGAAGGAAGCAGCCAATACGTTTGGTGTTTCCAAGCCCTTGTTTGGGGCCCTAAGGTTCCTAAGATGCTTCCTCCAGGCTTCTAGGTGGAAGAATCTGCACCTGAGAAAAGTGACAAACTGGCTCTTTTTTCTCCATATCAAGATCTCACCCACAGGATGATCGAGGAGAAGCCATAACAAGCAGGCAGAGTTCTCTGTTAACCTTTTCCCTTAGGCAGTGAAAGCACTCCTTACCCTCCGAAGAGGCAGGAAAGAGGGGCTCCTCGTTAAAGGAGACCCACTCCGACTGCTGGGTAGCAATCACATGGTCCAAGGTCGTCATGCTGGGAAGGCGCTGGTCATCTTCACGCTGCTGACCTCAGGCAGACCCCAGAGCAACGTCTGGGGTGGAGGTACGGTAGCACAGTGGACTTGGGCCTGGGGTCTGCTATGGGGGTTTTGCCGAGGGTGGCACTCAGAACACAGGCAGATTAGCCTCTCTTGCCTTTGGTGAATCTGCCAAGCAGAAATCTGTTTTAAAAAAATAATGAAAATTAAAAGGGATGATCATCACATAACCAAACCACACAGGTCTAGGGCTTTCAATACTGTCCATGAGGAGATCTCTGCCCTCCCCTTCTCTGCCCTGCCCTGCCCTCACCTCTAACAGGGAAATATCTGCCTTTAGCATCGAGATCTCTGTATGTGCCTTCATATCAGACCTACAATCACACAAATTTTAGCAATTAGATTCCCAAATTTTCCCAATTACTATATTTTAGAAATACTTTTATCTATAATACAATGCCATCGTTGTAAACAAGTATTGAAACTTTTCAAAGTGCTTTCGCTTTCCTTTACCAGATGGCAAAATAAATGCACGTTATTTCCTATCAAATCTGTGCAGTTTCTTGCCTGAGGCAGGTAGCTCTTTGCAAGCCTGATTTAAATCTTTGGCAGAAATCCAACCATCTCCAGATGGTATCTCCAAGCACGACTTACCAATCAAGAAAAACAGAAATGGAGTCATCTTGCTCACTTGGAGCAAGGGGGTAGGGCATATTTGCATCAGAGGAAAATACGAGTTAAAGAAACACATTTTTACTCTAGGCCAGTTTGAATTCGTACGTAAAAGTCTAGCCTTTAGTCACATTGCAATTATGTTCCATGTAAGGCTAATGAATAGACTTACAATATTGTTTGTACCATTAGTGTCTTTTTACAACTTGAACCTAACTCTTGATCTTAGAATGAATTAGTAAAATCTAAATTAATGCAAAATTAATGTTTCCACATAAGAGCTACCATCCACCTTGAACAGTATCAGATCTTATTAACCGAATACTCATAATATTGATTTTAGTCTAGAAAAATTTAACTCATAGCCTTCTAGCTGGTGCATAATAAAAAGAAAATGTTGAAATTCTACTATAGGGTACTAACTGCATTAAATAATCGATGCTGAGGATAATCAGAATAGAAACATTTAGTAGCTTTTACTTTGGGGGGCAGAATTAAAACTATCAGTCTTGTTGACCAATACTTCCTAAAAATAAATAATGTTTGTAAAGAATTCATAATTTTCAGAAACCTATTTTCATACCATACTTTGATTCAATAGTCACTGTAGTTAGAGAGAAGTTAAGTGACTTATCCAACACTTTTGTTGTTTCCAGGGGCTTTGTTTGGTGTCCTAAGATTCCTAAGATGTTTATTCCAGGCATCTAAGTGGAAGAATTTACACGTCCCAGGATAGTGACAATTGGACTCTTTTTATTGCATAATGAGATACCACCAAAGAGTAATCAAGTAGAGGCCATAACAAGGAGGTGTGTTAGATGCACCACATTAGGAAGTGATAGATGTAACCCTTGAGCCCAGGTCTTCTGATGCTGAAACACTCTTATCTTTGGGTCACAGCCATAAACAAAAACAAAAACAAAAACAAAACAAAACAAAAAACTAGAGACTATAAATAGACTAGCCCCCAGCTAAAGTACTTCACAAACATCAACTACAATGGAACCATAATGAAATGATCAGTGAAACTCAACGGAAATCTGCCAGGGTATCCAAGCTGTACAGAGAATGGAAAGCCCAGAAATCTCTCTTGCAAGTCCCTCTCCTAAGATTCTTACCAATCACGGGACCAGACATGTGCAAACAGCCTTGGGAGTGACGGCTCCAAACCAGATCTCACCAGAGAACCAGGCAAAGCCCACAGACCCAAAGAGCTGATCTAGTGGGCTTCTCCCATCTTAAGCCTTTCTCAAGTCCGTCAAATGTTGGCATCCCTCAATGTGATAAATGGCTGCAGGCCAAGAGAAGATGGTAAAATTGAAGAGTCAGATTCCCCCTCTCCCAACGACAGCAGCATGTAAACCAGCGCCAACAAGGACAAAGCCACAATACAAGCTCACGAGCTGACATGTGCAGCGTCACAGCTTGATGGGGAGACATCCCACCCATCCCGTGATGATGAATCCAGCAAAATGAATGTGGGTGGGGGAGGGGAAGGGGGGACAAGAAGGAAAAGGGTGAAGATAATGGAGGAAACATCTAGAAATTTTAGAGCTCGAAAATTTTAAAGATGAATAGTCCAGCTCTCAAGTTTTACAGATGAAAAATGTGAGGCCCAAGGAGATCAGGTGTAGCAACAGCAGAGACTGAGACAGACCCAGGAGTTCAACTGCCTGGATGTGAGTCCTGCACAGTCCTTAAGCCTCAGCTCACCCCAGTGCAGCAAGAACAGCAAAACTCACTTCATAATTCTAAGAATTAAGTAAGATAATATACTCCAAGTGCTTAGTCCTGGGAGTGAAAAACCGTCTGTAACAATGAAGACAGTCATAGCAGGTGAGTTTACAGATGGCTTACTGTGTGCCAGGCCCCATTCCAAGCTCTTAATAAATGTCCGCTCTGGCCTTCGACCCCAGGTAAGTGACTCACACTAACAAGCTGTGTACCTCCTTGTAAATCTTGGGACCAGAATGCAAATTTCATGAAACCCCTCCCTTTCTGTCACTTCCACATTCTGATTTTAGTGATTTCCCTTTACAGTCATTTTTTAGAACGGTTCTCCCAGATGCTAAGTGGAGTCAAGCAGGCAACTTCCTCTTTACAGATACAGATGCATTCGGCTGAGGGACCAAGATAAAGACTCAGGAAGTATGAATGAAAAGAAGAGCCCGAAAGATTTACCTACCCTTCCTCAGCTTGTCCAGTCCAGATCCAGACATGGGCTGGTAACAGACGAGTGGTCCCAGGAAAGCCTGGTGGAACAAAAGTGTTACTGGGAACCTCCATCACAACCCTGTGAAATGGATTCTAGGAACCTGTCATGAAACAGCTACACGCAGCAGACCCTGAGATGCTAGACCCTACGGAGCGCTGGGCAAGCAGCTGGAATCCCACAGAGAAACCCAATCATTGTGAGGCTAAGTTCACCCTGGAATGGGTTTCTCCGTAAAAACCTCACCCCATTTTTAGAACATGAATCATAAAGTGAGGCTTGGAATCACCACAAATGAGTAGTGACTCACAATTAGCACAGTGCTGACCAAGAGACACTAAAAATTTCACTGAAGTTCTCTGGGCTGCCCTTTCAGAGAGAAGCTTCTTCCGCAGCCCACCTTACACACTAAAGCTGGGGGGTGGAGAATGCAGCTGGCTGATAAGATGGGAGACCTAGAAGACCGACATAAGATGTATCTATTTCCAGGATGCAGTCATGAGTCCTGTGTGTGTAGAAATGTGCCAGGCACCCTTAAGATACTGACCCTCAAGCAGCTCACCATCTAGCAGGGAGATGGAGATGCTCAGAACAGCGAACACAACAAACCTGGGAATAACTGCCCACTGGAGGACATACCAGAAATGCTGCGACAGTTGGACCGTAAGGGCTGGAACCATAAGGGACCGAGCAGGTTTTGGGATTTGAAGGACGCCCTTGGTTCCAGACCACCAGAAGGGAAGAGTAAGGCATCCTTGGGACGGGGTATCAGCCTAAGTGGCGATTAAGAATCAGACCGTGTGAGGGCGTGTTCCTGGGCCAGTGAAGAGGTCAGTCTGATGAGAGCTGAGGTATCTCCTGGAGAGAAAGGCTGATGGACCTGAACAGCTGAGGAGAAGGGTTCTGTGGGAAATGGGAAGCTGCTGAAAAGTTTACGAGTGGAGAGAGTCTCAAGAAATGTGCTTAAGGGACTTTCCTCAGACTGTCCTGAGCCAGGAGTTTGGTGATGGAAGCTATCAGCCAAGACAGGGCCTCAGTGTGTCCCACAAAGCCAGGGGCCAGCATCAGCAGAAACAGGACTGGCTACTCTGTGCTAGGACCATTCTAGACCCTGACAGTACAAGGAAGAATGAGACAGCATCATTGGTCTCTAGTAGCTTAAAGTTCATTGCAGGGAGGTATAACAGTGACATAATAACACAACAGGCTCTCTAACCTATTGTGACGGGTCAGCCACCACAACAATGACAGCACCCTTGCAGAGAGAGAGTCAGAGTGTTAAGAGACTACTGAGGGCTTGAGCAGTGGGAGGTCATGAGCTGCATCTTAAATTGGAAGGCAGGCTTCTCAGTGAAAGGGAGGAGGGACAAAGGCATTTGGGGAAGAGAGAACAGAGATGGCACAGCTAGATCACAATGAGTTTATCTCCTGTTTACCTGAAGAGGGTGGAAGTGAGATGAGTGCACTGGAAAAGGAGGGGTTGAAACAGTGACAGCTCTAAATTTCAGAGAGAGTTTGAACTCTCGAAACTGCCCTTTCTGTTCCCACTGCCACTGCCTTGGTTCAGTCCCGCATCGTTTCTCATTCAGGCAATTACTAGCCTCTTACCTGTCCCCTGCCTTCAGCATCATCCCCCTCTAACCTATTACCCAACCTAGTAAGCCAGCAGGGCCTTCCTAGAACTTGAAAATGTCCATGCCACAGCTCTGTTTAAAAACTCCTCACAGCCACAGACCCCCTTCCTCCTTGCGTTAGCCAGAGTCAGCTTCTGTCGCTTGCAGTGAAGAACTCCGATGTACAGTCCCCTTCCTTAGCTCCCACTAATCCCACTTGTCCCTTATCCCCCATGTCTTCTGTATGCTGATAGTATCTTACTCATTTATCCGGTTATAATGAACCTGCCTGCTAATGTGGCCATTGTGTCAATTAGCCTGAGAGCTCCCTGAGGAAAGGGACTGGATTTTCCTCTTGTGGATGTCTCCAACTCTTAGAATAGGGTCTGATATTTAGCAAATGTTTATTGAGTAAATATCTGAATAAATGAATGAGTGAACAAATTAACTTGTTTTACCACATAATAGGTAGCCTCTTTAGGTCTCCTGAGCTGGTAAATGCTTTAGAAAGGTTAATTTAAACACTATGTATAAGATAGCTTGGGAAACAATCTGGATACAGGGCAACATGTCCATTCTCCTTTCTCTGATCTAAAATTGTACTATTCAATTCCAGTACAGTAGCCACTAGACACAGGTGACTACTGAAATGCGGTTGGTCCAAAGTGTACACACCAGATTTCAAGAAGTATAAAAATGTGTTAAATACCTATTTAATAATTTTTATATTGATTACA